CAGGGATTCTATAAGGGTAAAGGGTTTAGGGCGGTCGATGGGTAGTCATAAGGGGGGTTATAAGGGTTTTAGGGTTCCTTTAAGGCGGTTCTATCAGGTTTAGGTTTAGGGGTTTAAGGGTTAGGGTAGTTATAAGTGGGGTTACTAGTCTCCTAATATAGGCTATGACCATAGTTATCCTACTTATAACCCTGCTTATAACTACCAAGTATGGTAATGCAAAGGCACCACAATACCAGTAGGTTCACAGTTTGCGAAGCCCCTATACCCTAGGTTAAATTTGTTTTAGCCATAAACCCTAAACCCCTAAACCTTGGACCCCCAAACCCTAGCCTCGTTCAGCGAACCTTGGGCGTTGGTTTGGGGCTGGCTGCAGGTTGTGTTCCTAAACTCGAGGAGCCGTAGACTCTAACCCGAAAAATCGGAATAGAATTCTGAGCTGCAATACAGAAACGCAAAGCAATAAGGAACCCCAACAATCAATGTAACCCTGTATTCCAAACGCTGTATTACAGAAGGCGTCTCGGGTTTACCCTCTAGTTTCAGGGTCTGTATCTCGAAAGACCATACGAAACTTCGGACAAAACATCTTCCACGACTACTATCTGTTAGAAGGGGCCCCCACCCTGCAATAGTGACTATAAGGATTACATTAGGGCCCACTATTATATTCCTATTATACCAGTATTACAGGGTGGGGGCCCTTGTCTGTCTTGTGCAACTTCAGACCCCCCCTGGAAGACATGAGGATCAATGCACCGTTTAGGGTTTAGGGTTTAGGGTTTAAGGTTTAGGGTTTAGGGTTTAGGGTTTAGGGTGCAGGGTTTAGGGTATTCAACAGTCTGCATCTCAAGTAACCAAGTGAGCATTTATCAATAACATCGTTTACACGAAACAGATGTGGTCGTCAACATCAGCTGCCACATTCGCAAAGGGGCCTGAAAAACTAGAACAGTGTTTTTGGCTCCTTGATGCAATACTATTGGAAATTATGTAGGCTTCTATATTATGTAATGGCCGTGATCAACCAAAGAGGCGCCCCGGACTTTAGACATACCTTAATGTAGGAACCTGATTAAGAAACCTTTGACCTTTATTAGGGTTTCTTATATGAGCCCTACTACAGTATCTTGGGGTTATAGGCCCAGGGTTTCTTAATCAGGTTCCCCCCTTAGACACCCCAAGCCCTCCTCAAGAAACAACCAACAAACTTCAACCCACGACGCCCGGTACGCCAGAGTCCCCAGAACTCCGAAGAGGGTTTAGGGTTTAGGGTTCAGGGTCGAACCCTAAAGACAAAATAAAGTACAGGAGAACAGCAAGTCACTTGCGCTTCTTCGGGTAGTCGCTGTTCGCCAGCTCATCAGGCACCTCTTTTTCTCGCATTTGTATAGCCTACAAACCCTACCTCAACAGAGGTTCAGGCTTCCCCAAGCCCTAAACCCTTAAACCCAAACTAAACCCTCAAACCCAAACTAAACCCTAAACCGAGGTTCATCGTTCCATAAACCCTGCACCCTACAATGCCCCGAAAACCCCCAGCGGCCCTGACCTGGAACCCTAAACCGCTTAATTAGGGCATTTATAGGGTTTATAGGGTTTTTCAGGTTTACGGAACCGCGCTAAACTATGGATGCTAGCCTCTGGGCTCCAGACTTGTAACGGGTTTTGTGCATTTAGGGTTTAGGGTGTAAGGCTTGCATGAGGCTTAGGGGTCTTGTGCGTTTAGGGTTTAGGGTGTAAGGCTTGTGGAAGGCTTAGGGGTTTTCTGTGCTTGGGGTTTACGGGTTTTTTTGAATACCTATAGTCTCCATTGTAGTTCCTCTTGTTGGTTTGACCAATATTATATTAAGGATCCCAAAAGGTAACCCCAAAAAGGAACTACAATGGAGACAAAAGGTAGCTTTGCGATCGAAAAGAGAAGCCGTCTACCTGAAGCTCCAAACCCGACACATGACGGGCAGTTGAACCCCTTAGGGTTTAGTTTTAGGGTTTAGGGAACCTAAAAAATCATGGTACGCTTTTGTTGTAGTGTACTATTACAGGGCTTAGAATTCACGGATACCTTAACACTGGGCGCACTGCAGTAGAATAAAACGATAGTAGCTTAGTAGGATCTGGAGCAATGCCGTAGTCCAGTTGTTCAGTCTCATGCATTTGTAGGGCCCCAAAAGCACATGAGCAAGAATAAGGTTAGGGATATTTCAAATAAACCCCCTTAGAAAGGAAGGCCAATAAGGTAGGGATATCCCCATCATATGCTTATGCTTACGTGCTTTTTGGGTCCCTAAAGTTGATCCGAGCCGGGAATCCAAGCACCGGAGCCCTTGGCTCCAGTCAAAGGCAGCTGTAGACACACGCCATTCGTGGCCGAAAAAAACTCCGGATCATGTGTATGCGGTTCTCGGATGCCCAGTCGCCCAGAGGGCTCCCTTTTTGGAATTGGGCACCTTTATAAGGAACCTGGGACTACAAAAAGGGAATGAGGGTACTACTGGGCATCCTAGGGTTTTACCATCCAAACCTTCAAGCACATGAACAGAAGTTGTATGTTGGGCGGCTCCTGTTTTTGGCGGATTTTGGTAGCATGTACGCGTTACATGGAACAGCAGCCGGTTTAAGTAACTGGAACTAGGGCCCAGCTTGCTTCAACTTGCTGAAGGCTTTGCCATACCTGAAAAGCTCTTCCCCAATACTCTGGAATTTGCTGGACGCAAGGTTTTCCAGCAATAAACCCGTCTTCGGGAAGGTCAGTGTTCAGGCAGCATGGGGGGCAAGCGGCAGGGGAAAGCCGGCAAGAGCTCACTGACAGGCATGTGAATACGAGCCTACTAGCAGCTAGCAAAGCCAAAGCCAAAGCACTTCTCTCAACCCTCAACCCTAAATTTAGAAATTTAAAGCATTTAAGACAGTTTTAAATAATGTTTTAAAGTAATTTTTCAATTTTCAACCCTAAACCGGTGCCCTCCTATAAACCCTAAACTTGAGAACACCAGTGGCGGTCCACACCTCGACCAGCCTCGTGACGTTGTCGGTCTGGTACCACCGGGTAGATTCCTCTACCTGTTCAATATTTGCCCAGGATCAATCCCGGGACCCTACTGTAGGGGCCTTCATAAGTAGAATTAGACTTTCGGGGCCCGTATACTATAATTATAGGAAAGACCCCCTCAAACTAGTATAGCTAATCATTTAGGCCCCTATATTAACCTTTCAAGACATCGGGTTGAGCGCAATGCCTACACCCGGCGCCGGCAACACTCAGACGATCTTCCAGCTCATATTCCCCAGTACGGAAGCCTTGAGGAAGGCCGTAGCTTCATTCATATGTAGTGTAGGAACCTGAATGAGAAACCCTCGGTCTTGATTAAGGTTCGTTATATGAAGCCTAATTAATATAACGGTGTTATGGGGCCAGGGTCTCTTTATCAGGTTCCTACACAAGGGGTTACGACGTTCGAAATCCTCTGGGGCCTCAAAAGCCCTATATAACCTTCTACCACCTTCCGCCGAGTTTCCGCAGCTGCCGTAGACTCAGGCCTTAACCTAAACTCCAAGCCCCTAAAGCTTAAACTCTAAACGCTGAACTTTAAACCCTCAACCCCTAAACCATAAAAAAGCCCTAAACGCTGATGAACCCTCCACCTTAAACCCTAAATCCTAAACGCCTTTTCCCGATCAAGCCTTGGACATGATGGCACTGACCTGAGAAGGCTCAGGGATCGTTGCCACGGTTCTTTGCTGGGTTTGTAGGGGTTTGAGTTTAGGGGTTTAGGGGTTTTGAGTTTAGGGCTTTGCGGTTTAGGGTTTAGGGGTTAGGGGCTTAAGGGTTTTGAGTTTAGGGGTTTAGGGTTCAGGTTCTTGTAAAGGAAGGAAATCAATCTAGGTTACCAGAATAAGGATCTATAGTAAGTAAAGGTAAATGAAATGGTTTACTTACTGGGGCAGCTGAAATTAGGTTCCTGAACAAGAACCCAGAGTACCATGCTTCTCCATATTCGTCTTCTTCCTCGTCCCTTATCCTTGCTCTCCATGAACAGCATGTTCGTCGTTCTGCCGGCCTCGGCTACATGCTGTCTTACACGGTTCTCATGGAGTCGGTCATTATCTCCTTGGTCTTCTGAGCACCGTCATCCCTATTGTACTCGTGCCGTTCATTCCAACCTTTACTCTCCATGATAGCCGTTCTATGTTTCCTCAAGAGGGCACTTCATGTCCTACTTGCCTCTACTCCGCCCTTTCCTAGCTTGAAGCTTCGCTATTGAGGTGTCATGGCTAAACGGAAATCCTGAGAAGCGGCATTCAGCGCTGTCTCCTAGGCAACATAAAGCCTGAGACCCCAAATTCTCAATAAACCCGAAACCCTAAACCGCAAACCCTACACCCTGAATTAGTCTGTAAAACCCTTGTAATACCTTAACCTTAACCCCTAACGAAATGCATAAATTTACAACCCTTATACAACCCATCATGAAAAGTCCTGAACAGGCTGACTCAAGGGATACTATCTGTCCGATAGTTGGTAGGATAGAGGGATAGACAGAAGGAAAGAGACCTAGATCTGTGTATAGATCGATGGATGAAGAAGTAGAGAGACAGTAGGTAGTAATGAGTGCAGGTAGGCAAGTGGTTAGGCAGGCAGTCTCGAAGATGTGTGTATGCAGGCTTATAAAGGCAGGTTTATACCTCTGTACGTATGTATGTATGGTTGGATGTATGTATGTATGTATGGATGGATGGATGGATGGATGTGTATGTGTGAGTGTGGGGGCTTGTATGCATTCATGTTGTATGCAACGTAATGTAACGTAACGTAATGAAATGTCATGTAGTGTAGTGCAACGCAAGTATGTGTACGTATGCATGCACCTACTTCTCTGTGTGCTCTAGTTCGTACACCCGCTTTTTGCGTGTGATTGTCTATGCGATTGCGCAGGCGATGTTGCGAACTCGCAAAGTCTGTCTTGTTAGCCGTTAGCCACTGCAACTGAGGGCTCTGCATCCGCAAAGCTGGACATGGTGTCAGCGGGTGCATGGACGCCGAGGACGATAGGTACGTCTCTCAGGTGGGAGATGGACTCGTTCAGGAACCACTCGAACACCTTACCTGGGAGGTTCAAGGCTGCTGGGGTTTAGGGTTTACTGAGGTTTAGCGTTTGGGGCTTAAGGGTTTTGGGGTCTTCCGTCGAAAACGCGCACTTCACAGTCCGATCAGGAGCTTCCAACGCCCTCTCTCTTCTGTTGCGGAGGTTCAGGGTCTAGGAGGAACTTGCACGGAACTCGAGGTTGAAGTTCGTGATCCTGTAACGGTTTGAGGTTCAGCCGAAAAAGCTGTAGGACCAGGTTCCAACTAACTTCTGGCTTGAGGTCTAACGGAAATCCGATGCCCGAGAGCCCAAACCATGCCCCAACCCTAAACCCAACTTCCAAAACACTCACACTCCACAAAACCCCAAAAACCCTAATGGCTTCGGGGTTTAATTGAAAATCCATCCCCTGGTAGTATCAACCCTAAAGATGACCCCAAGGGCTCCTGAACCTTAAACTGCCTCAACCGTTTTAAGGTTTAGGGGTTAGGGAGGGTTTAGGGTGTAGGGGCGTTTGGGTCAGACTTTCCGTCTTGTCAACACCCTGCTGCCCTGAATCCAAAGGGAACTCCAGAAAGTTGGAATATGATTTCAGGGTAGGATCCCCTATAATTTACCTTAAAGGGTTTAGGATAATGATATTCCAACTGTCTGGCTTCTACTGTAAGGGACTGACGACCATAGCCCAAAAGAGCTGAACCTTGTCAGGCGTGGTAGGATTATGTGGGTGGTGGTCAAAATTATGGTCCCTTTTGGGGGACCCTAAATGTTAGGTGCCGTACTATAATGAGGAGCCAAAATGGGACCCTAATTTTGACAGCCACCCAAATATGAACCCGCAAAGGCTGAAGGCCACCAACTCAGCTACTAAGATCACAACGACCGGCACGAAACGGCTTTGAGGGCTTCGGGCTTATGGGCTGCTGGGCCCCTGGACCCTGAACGCTTTACTTAAGGTTTCCTTGATAATAACTCGGCTTGTGGGGCTATTTCAAGTCTCACAACTTACAACCGCAAACCATTAAAGGCATCAAACCTGATCCTTAAGCTCGCTAAACCCTACACCACATCAGAACTCCAAACCTAAAGCCCTACATGTTCTAGACCCTAAACCGAAAAGCCTAGAGCCCCAAATGCTCTAACCCCCATGGATCCCTTATAGAGCCCTTTAAGGAGCCCTTTGAGGACCTCTTTTAAAGGGCACTAGTCAGGAACCTGGCAGACCCTGCAAAAGGCCCAAGGAACGCCCTTTCGGCTGTGGAGCTCCCGATCGCTCCGTGGGTTCGAGCGTACCTGCGGGTTCAAAGGGTAGGGTTTAGGGTTTAGGGTTTAGGGTGTAGGGTTTATAGAAATTGTATAGGGTTTGGGTCCGGAGTTTTGCCGGGTTTTGCCGGGTATTGGGGGGTTTTGCCGGGTTTTGCCGGGTTTTGGGTTTTGCTTTCGAATTTTGGTTTCTGGGATTTGGGGGACAGTTTTGACCGAAACGTTTTGACCGAAAGTTCTGCGCGGGTTTTGTTTTTTGACTTGAAACTTTCATTTTGGGTGGCGGACTGGGGTCGGAGCTGGCTGGTGCGGGCTGGGTGGGGGCTGGGCTGGGCTGGGTAGAAATTGTCTAGGGTTTGGGTCCGGGGTTTTGCCGGGTTTTGCCGGGTTTTGGGGGGTTTTGCCGGGTTTTGCCGGGTTTTGGGTTTTGCTTTCGAATTTTGGTTTCTGGGATTTGGGGGACAGTTTTGACCGAAACGTTTTGATACCATATAGGGATTCCTAGTATATGGCTTCCCAGAGACTCCAACATCCCCTAATCAAGGAATATACCTTATAAATCAAATTAAGGATCCTACTGTAATTTAAGGTATATTCCTTAAGTAAGGGATATTGGAGTCTCTGGGTCAAAGAGTTCCTTACAGGGCTGAGTGCTTAGGGGTTTAGGGGTCTAAGGATTTTGGGCTTAGGGGTGTAGGGCTTGGGGTTTAGGGGTTTAGGGCGTGAAGCTTCGGGCTTAGGGGTTTTGGGGTTTAGGGTTTAGGGTTTAGGGTTTAGGGTTTAGGGTTTTGGGGTTTAGGGTTGCTTTAAGGGTTCCTGTTAGATTCTTTGAGGGGTTCCTGAAAGTTCTCAGGGTTTCTGTCTAAAGATTCTACTAAGGATCCGCGAAGGTTTAGGGTCCTTGATGGGTTCATTAAGGGTTATTTAAGGGACTATATAAGGATAATTCAGGATGCTAGTCCGGTGTGGGGTTTAGAGTTTAGGGTCTTAGTGCTTTAGGGCTAGGCCGTTTAGGGTTGTGAGGGCTGCAGGGCACTGCACAAGGTTCATAAGGGTTTTGTGCAAGGGGAATTTGGTAGTTTCCAAAAATAGGGGAGCCCAATATAGCATCGTAAAGTAGTAGGATCCTTATGAGAAGGACCCCAAAATAAGGCACCCCTAATTTTCGGAAACTCCCATAAGGGTTTTGTGCAAGGGGAATTTAAAGGAGGGGATCATGGTTTTGCCACGGTCATGGATCGCGCTTCGAAAACTTCCACGAGAAAGCCTTCTGTCGCTCTTAAAGAGCACCTGGTACAACCTGATCACTCCCTGTACATAGCCGCCTAACTCAGGAACTCTTAAAGATTTTAACGGTTTCTTCGACTGTGGAGCCCATCTTGAGCGTAATTCGCTGGCGTTTGCTTTGAGAAACGGTACAAAGAGCTGCCGGTGTTTCGGCTAAGGGTTTTTGCAGGTTTAGGGCTACTAGTATCGGGTTCTATAAGGGTTTGTCAGGTAGGGGCGTAGGCATTCAACTCCTAGGTTTCGCGTTATAGAAGGGTTTCCAAGGGTCTTCACAGATCTCTCTGCCCCTTAATAAGAGGCTCGTATTGAGTTCGATGCGCTCTGTATGGGGGGAGGTTAGCTTGGTGGCTGCGCCGGGCTCTCATGCAACTTGAGCGTGCGGCCTGAGGCAGTTCATGCATTGATCTGAAGTTGCATGACACTCCCTAAACACCCTAAAAGCATTCTAAAAACACACTAAACCCAACGTCCAGAGTCGGAAACCCAATGCCTAAAGCTAAACCCAACATGTTCAACATGATACATCCTAACCTCAACATTCTCAGCTCAGGCTAATAGGAGGTCTCTTTGTAAATTCTGTTCAGGTCTTATGGGTGGCTGTTGTCTCCCTGCTACCTCCCGCATGGGACCTACACCCGAAAAGCACCAAGACATCCCACCACTGAGGTCTGACGAATCAACTTGTACTTCATTTGAGTTCCGTAAGCAACAAAACTCCAAAACGCACCAAGAATAAATTCCCATAGCTAAGACCCACATGTTCAACCTTAAACCCTTCTAAAGAAGCCTCAAGATCCCACCTACATCCCTCTCTTCTAGTCGCTTCTCTAAACCCTAAACCGGTGTACCACTATGGGCTATTAGACCTTAAGGGTACCTTAATCTACCCTTAATAGGGTCCTAATAGGGATCTTTAGGGTCTAATAGCCCATAGTGGTATTCAAAGCTAAACTTCGAGCCCGGTCGCCCATGCCGTAGCCGGCCACCGAAACAATGACGTCGTAGGCCTGCATTGAGTCTATGGGCTATTAGACCCTAAAGATCCCTATTAGGACCCTATTAAGGGTAGATTAAGGTACCCATAAGGTCTAATAGCCCATAGTGGTGAGTCTACCTACAGTCTCCGTTGCAGTTCCTTTTTTGGTTTAACCAGCTTCAGAGTTGGTTTCCTATAAGGTAACCCCGAAAAGGAGCCACATTGAAGACTATTAGTGACAATAGGTAATTCGTGGGCATGAAACCTCGAACGAGATTTTGGGTACTCTACAGTTCTACAGTATAGCTGGAGTATCAGTTGGGTATGCATACTGTATCACAAGTTATAGGGACCAAAAGGCGACATTATTGCTGCACCCAGTGACTCCAATATCCCTTGTTTACGGAATATACCTTAAATTATAGTAGGATCCTTGATATGATTTAAGGTATATTCCTCAAATAAAGGGATATTGGAGTCTCCGGGCAATGATACAGGGTCTTTCAAGGGAGATCATTGGTTCAGGATTGCGGCGAAGTAGATTCGTGGGTGGTTGGGGTTTAGGGTTTTGGGTTTTGGGTTTGGGGTTTAGGGTTTAGGGTTTCTAGACCCAAGAGTAACCTAGGAATAAAAAGGGTGCCCTTTTTGGTTTAAAGGGGCTTTATAAGGGAACCAGAACCCTAATAAGGGCTTACTCTGGGTCCTAGGTTTAGGGTTTGCGGGAGCTCTGGCGGTTTAGTATTTTGGGCTTTTTTGGCTCCGGGATTTGGGGGTTAATTGGTGGGCCGGCGGGTGTTTCCTGCCTCCAAAATCTCATCCGGAGTTCCTTCGGCATCGGGTGCGGAAATATCCGGCGGTGGCGTCCCAAACCGAACTGCACAATGTTGCAGGTCGTAGGATCACCCGGTCCGCACTTACGGTTTAGAGTTTAGGGTTTAAGGTTTAGAGTTTAGGGTTTAAGGGTCGGCCGACCAGTGGGCTTGCCGCGCTTCGGGCTGACGGAAAAGCTGACACTGGCCGGCGACTATTCGAGTTTGCTATAGGGGCCTTAATAATTAGAATAGGGTTTTGGGGTCCATTCCACTATAATACCTATTACTTATAATAACGAACACCAAAAATAGCACGTTTGGGGCCCTGTTTTGGGCCCCCTATGTTAAGGGCTCTGCTTCGGTTTTCCACGGCGACTTGTTGGGATATTCCCGACAACCCTTTTCCCTTGAATCCCAACCCTGAACCCCCTATACCCTAACACTAAAACCCGCAATAGTAGAAGCTAGGATACCCAGTAACCTAAGAATAAAAAGGCCTCTCTTTTTGGTATTGGGTAACTTTATAAGGAACCTAGGACTACAAAAAGGGAATAAGGGTACTACTGGGCATCCTAGATTATCTCAATAGCTTATTCTAGTTGTTACGGCGCCTGTACTAACACGCAGAACTTGTAGAGCCCCTAAACCCCTGAATCCCCATCCTACCTATAGTCTCCATTGTAGTTCCTTTTGTTGGTTTAACCAATATTGTATTAAGGATCCTAAAAGGTAACCCCAAAAAGGAACTACAATCGAGACTATAGGTAACCCTAAATCCTCATCCTAACCCTAAACCCCTCATCCCGAGACCCTTGACAGAGAGGAAAGCACAAGGCAGGGCCCTACAAGCCTCTGACGGTACTTCCGTCGTGATCAGGGGCCCTAAACCCCTGAACCCTAACCGGCTTTCAAACCCCAAACCCCTAAACCCTGAACCCTAACCGCAACACTGACACGTAAACCCCTAAACCCCAAAACCTAAACCTAAGCCCCAATAGAAATCCTTCAAGGAACTCTTTGAAACCCGAAACTCGAAAACTCTAAACCCTTACAGTGCCCTTTCAAGGAGCTCTTGTAGCACCCTTATGGTAACCCTAAACCCTAAACCCGAAGGTACACTCGAAATTCACGGCCCCCCGGACCTGCGGGGCGAAGGAGCCAAGCTGCAGAGCTCCGAAACCGCCCATGCTGTACCTAAAATGAAGGCTTAAAGGGGGCCTTAGGGGGATTAGGGGTTAGGGTTGAAGATACCTGGAATGTCTGCGGCTCAGGGGGTTTAGGGGAGTTTTGGGTTTCAGCGTGTGGGCGTAAGGTTTCTCTCTTCTAGCTTTAGGGCAAAGCAAAACGCCTGTACCATGCTCAGGGTTGGTTTATATACCTACTTGGGGAACTGCAGGTCAACCCTTTTGGCTGTATATAGGGATTATAGGGACTATACTCCCTCCAAAAAGGTTGAAGGTTACCTACTCTACTACTAGGTGTATATACCGCTGAAAGCCCCGGTATAGGGTTTAAACCCGAAGCCTAGACCCTGAACACAAGAATCACACTATTGTAGCCTGATTAAGAAACCTTGGGCCTTCATTAGGGCCGCTTATATGAAACCTACTATTTTGCGGTTATAAGGCCAGGATTTTTACAGCAGGTTCCTACATTATTACAGTACCCTTATATATCCCTTACAGTAACCCTTATAGACTCCTTCAAAGGAACCTCCAGGGTTTCTTACTCAGGTTCCTACATTACTATGGTACCCTTATAAATCCCTTATAGTAACCCTTGTAGACTTCATCAGGTTCCTACATTACCCTCAAAGAAAAGGACCCAGAGCCTCCAAAACCCCTTACCTAAGGAATATACCTTAAATCATATTGGAATCTTAGAATAATTTAAGGTATATTCCTTAATTAAGGGGTTTTGGAGGCTCTGGGGACTGAATGAGACGCCGAGGCTGCCCCATTGCCATGACACGCTCGGCATTGAAGTACTCCGCGGCTTCAGTAACCTGTCGTTCGTATGTATGGACGGATGGGCGCATGCATGAATGCAGGTTTATGCATAGATGCATGATTGCAGACTTATGCAGAGATGCATGCATGCAGATTTATGCAGAGATGCATGCGTGCTCAGATGTATATGTATGTCATGCGTGTCCATATGCGTCCTCGAACTTGGCATGCAAGAAGCCGAGTGGCGATATACTGGCTTCGCTCAAAACCACGTGACTTCTACGGTTGACAGCCCACTGGTGAGGAGGATCCCGTGGCATTTGAGTAACCCGTACAGTACTTCAAGCCTAAACCAGGCACTAGGGCTGAGGCAAAACCCAACCTCAACGCCAAGCAACCTACTTTTTCAGACTCCTTACTTATTATGATTTGCTTTTCTATGATCAAGAGAATGTAGCCCTTCTGGGTCCGGATGAACCCTTAAACCCCCACACCCTAGACTTCAACCTCGACACAAAACGAATCCGCGAAGCAAGCGCTAAAGTGAATCCTCTAGCCAACCCTTGCAATTCTCTGATGAAGCCTCTTACAAAGAAAAGCGTGCAACAACTACTATGGCCCTAGAGGACACTGGTAACCCCGGTTTAAAGCCTTCAGTGTGAGAGCCCCGATCTGAGCTCAATATTGGGGCAATATAGGGGCCTTAATACTTAGAGTCAGGTTTCCTTTAAGGGGTCCTTTAAAGGGGTCTCTTGGGGATCTATAGTAGGGTTCTATACAAGGGGCCTTAATATTAGAATCGGCTTGTAATGCCCATTTTCTATAACTACAATAAGGAACCCACAAAATAGTATAGGTAATTATTTAGGCCCCAACATAGTACGGCACCCTCAAAGGGACCCTAGTTTAGAGAACTACCCATTTGGCTCCCACTAGCGCCTTGGAGGTGAGCGCCTCCAGAAATGGTCTGTGCAGGTCCCCATTGACATATCCCAGGTCCTTTGCCAGGTTACCCTAAAGGAACCCTTAGTCCTAAACCTAAACCCTGCAGGACGTCGGGAAAGGAGCCCATAAAGGGGCCTGATATGCCCTACCGAGGTAACCCTACTTGTCGGGTATCATGGAGAACTAAGGGTTAACCTTTTTGGTGATATAGGGTTTTTTATAGGGAGTCTACTACCCAAAAAAGGTTAAAGGACAATCACCTGCTCTCCTACTAGGGGTTTTAGGCGCGAAGGGTTCAAGGTCTAAACCCTAAACCCTAAACCCTCTTGCTCTTTCGGGCTTAGGGGTTCGGGAGTCCGCAGTTGAGTGCTTCGCCCTAAGACCTAAAACCCTTCGGATATAGGATGCTTCGGGTTCAGGGGTTTAGGGTTTAGGAGCTTAGGGTTTTAGGGTTTAGGGCTTTAGGGGTTTAGAGTTTAGGGGTTTAGGGTTGAGGGGCTTATGGGCTGGGACTAGGATGCCCAGTAGCCTAGGAATAGAAACTGCTCCCCTTTTTGGTATTGGGTAAAGAGGGAATAAGGGCACTACCGGGCATCCTAAATAGCCGAAAAAACGCTCAGACCGAACCCCCCTAAACCCATAAACCCATATTAGAGGACTTATAACCCCGCTTATACCTACCCCTGAACCTCCAAGTAGGGTTGGGCTGGGAAGGCATGAAGTGAAACCCTAAACCCTAAACTCTAAACCCTAAACCCCAAACTCTAAGCCCTAAACTCTAAGCCCAGATTCAGAGCTTTGGGACACTTCAACGGGCTTTCAGAGCTCGAGTTGCAAAGTTTCGGCTCTAGGGCGTTGAGGGTTTAGGGTTCACCTTCGGGTTTAGGGTTTAGGGTTTAGGGGTGAGTAATCAGGGCCCCAAAAGAGCACGTAAGCAAAAACAAGGATAGGGATATCCCATATAAAACCCCCCCTATAATGAAGCCAAATAAATAAGGCAGGGATATCCCTATGACATGCTGATGCTTATGTGCTTTCTGGGTCCCTAAATAATAAGGCTTCGGATGTAGGATTTCGTGGGGCTTAGCGTCTCAGGTGTAAGGCTTTCAGGCTTAAGGGCTTCGGGTTTAGCGTGATTTAGCGTTGGGGGCATAAACCTGCTTGTCGGGTATCATGGGGAACTGAAGGTTAACCTTTTTGGTTATGGAGGGCTTCTAAGGGACTATACTACCCAAAAAAGGTTAAAGGTTACCTCTACTAGTAGGTGAAGGTTTCAGGGTCCCTGACAGACACTACCCATTAATGCAGGAACCTGATTAAGAAACCTTGGGGCCTTTATCAGGGTTCCGTATATGAATCCTACTATTTTGGGTTATAGGTCCAGAATTTTCTTAATCAGGTTCCTACATTAGCGCTACTCGAGGAAAAGGAGCAGACAAGAAGACAAACAGCTGAAACACGTCAAACTCTAATCTTCAAGTGCAGTATAGGGGTTGGAACAAGTAGACTAAAACTTTGGGGTATACCGTAGACTCTACTTGTTTGCCTAAGGAGCCCTCAGGAAGAACCTTGAATGATGATACAAATTACTCAGCGTTCCATGCCTGGACCACCCAGGCCTGAACCACCAAAACCCTGAGCCCCCCAACCCTAAACCCTAAAGTAAATCAAACCCTAACACCGGCCCCTAAATACCTACCCTAAACCCTAAACCCTAACCTCTAAACCCAAACTAAATCCCAGACAAGGCATGATGCCAAAGCCTCGAGCCTGAAACACCGAAACCTCCGACTTCTGATCTTGGCTAAGCGTTGGTTTAGGGTTTAAGGTTTCGGGATTAGGGTTTATAGAAATTGTATAGGGTTTGGGTCCGGAGTTTTGGGGGGTTTTGGGGGGTTTTGGGGGGTTTTGCCGGGTTTTGCCGGGTTTTGGGTTTTGCTTTTGAATGTTGGTTTCTGGGATTTGGGGGACAGTTTTGACCGAAACGTTTTTTTGACCGAAAGTTCTGAGCGGGATTTGTTTTTTGACTTGAAACTTTCATTTTGGGCGCCGGACTGGGGTCCGAGCTGGCTGGTGCGGGCTGGGTGGTTGGCTGCTGGGCTGCGGCTGGGGTTGGGGCTGGGGCGGGGCTATACCTGGGGCTGGTTGGGGGCTGCTGAATTGGGCTGGACTGGGCAGCACTGGGCTGGGCGGGTGCGGCTTTCCACGCACACGTTTAAGGAAAATTCGAAAATAAAGAAGATGCAATCCATTTCGAAGCGAAAGACATACAATTTCTATTTATCCTGCTCTTGAGGGTTTAGGGTTTAGGGTTTAGGGTTTAGGGTTTAGGGTTTAGGGTTTAGGGTTTGGGATTAGGGTTTAAGGTCCTGGCTTTGGAGTTAAGGGTTTAAGTTTAAGGTTTAGGGTTTACGGTCAACGGTGGGTTTAGGTTTTACGTGCATGCCAAGGTTAGGTAAGCCTGACGCTAAACACTAACGCCTAAACCTCGCACACTAAACCCTGAACCCGAAAACTTGAATGCTAAACCCTGAACCCTGCAACCTGAATACTAAACCCCGAACCCTAGAAGTACTCGACTTTGAGTAGACGGATTCTGATGACGCGACATGTTTTGGCGGCATTAATTAAGGAATCGAGCCTCCGGCTTCATATTTTGGGCTCCCTGGGCTTTCATAACTGCACTCAAGCCTGCTGGTTCGGAATTAGGGTTCGGGTTTAGGGATTCAGAAGGGATTCGTTTCCGGAGGTTAGAGTTTAGTGATTCGGGGTTATCAGGCTGTACGGTTTCAGGGTTTTTGGGTTACCAAGTTCGCGTGTCTGCACACCTCTCATGAGGAGCAGCATATACTGCAGGGTCCATAAAAAGATCAGGCTTTCGGGCTATATTGAATAAGCAGCCCTCAGGAATCATTGTGTGGCTTCATCTTAGTCTTCTACATTACCCGCCTTGCGGTTCTGGGTCTTGGTAAATGTGCAGCCCCAGCTGAAGAGCATTCCTGGGATACGGAGAGATGAAATTGGCCAAATCGTAGTTGTAGTAGTTGTAGTAGTTGTTGTTGGTGGTGTTAGTAGTAATTCGTAGTAGTTCAGTAGCAGTGGCAGTATTGGTACAGTAGCAGCAGTAGGAGGAGTAGTAGTAGTCGTCGTAGTAGTCGTGGGTGGTGGTGGTGGTGGTGGTGGTGGTGGTGGTGGTGGTGGTGGTGGTGGTGGTGGTGGTGGTGGTGGTGGTGGTGGTGGTGGTGGTGGTGGTGGTGGTGGTGGTGGTGGTGGTGGTGGTGGTGGTGGTGGTGGTGGTGGTGGTGGTGGTGGTGGTGGTGGTGGGTGGTGGTGGTGGTGGTGGTGGTGGTGGTGGTGGTGGTGGTGGTGGTGGTGGTGGTGGTGGTGGTGGTGGTGGTGGTGGTGGTGGTGGTGGTGGTATTCCTTCCGTTGTTGTGAATTTAGACTTCCCTGCCAAACAACACTGTTCCTTCCGTTGTTGTGAATGGAGACTTCCCTGCCAAACAACACTGAAAACAGGAACTGTTCCCGACAAGGGTCCATCCTCTGACGGAGATGGGCTCAGGGGAACCAAGTAGATCACACGATGCCAAAGCCTTTCAGCGCAATTTGCGCGGCTGGTGCTGGTGGAGACCAGAATCATCATCTGCCACTATAGCCCACACGCAGCACTCGCGCCAGGACATCAATCTCATTATCGCTATCACGCGACACGAGCATAAAGCTCATCATGACATCTCACCATCACCTTGACCAGCAAAACAGTCATCACCGACTTCATCACAATCTTTCCCCGTTAGATCCATCACTATCACCATGATTGTCATGATCATCGGCATGACAATCCGCATGACAATCACAAGGACCGATATTCAGATGAAGTGATGGTGGACCATAAGCAATAGCAGCACGCACAGCACCATCGGCGCAATCTTTGCTCGCATCAGCAATAGCAGCAGGCACGGCACCATCGGCCATCGGCGCAATCTTTGCCGACACCATAATTGCCTCACCGTGTCCTCTGAGTCCTCTCGTTGCTCCAGTTACTCATGACACCACCACACGACTTTGATGCCACTGGCGCTGCATCCACACTTGCACCCTAAACCCAAAACCATGAACAACAAACCCATATAAACCCTAAACCGTCCACGGTATTTAAACCCAATATAAACCCGAAAGTCACATAAACCCTAAACCCTACAAGTCCAAAAATGATGCTTCGCAGCAGAAGTTCTGAGCGAAGTCTGGTCAAACTTGAGGCTCCAACTGTCAACACTTCACCCTAAACCCTAAACCCTAAACCCTAAACCGTGGCTCTGTTTAGGGTCTAGGGATGCTCCTAACGAAACCTGAAGCACAAGCCCAAATCCAGAACCCTAATCCCTAATCTGAATCACAAACTCTCGGTAGCGAACCTTAGCCGTGCCATTTGAGTTGAACGCTTTCGAGCTACAGCTTTTTGCAGCGAGTTGAGTTTAGGGTCTAGGGGTTAGGGTTTAAGGGCTTGGGTTCAGTGTTTAGGGGCATAGGGGCAACTTTGTTGGGGCATAGGGATTAGGGTTTAGTGTCTAAGACAGACCCGTGGTGATCAAGCCACCAGGTCTTCACGAGCCTTAATTCTTCTGATCCATATAGTGCTAGCTAGGGGGGGCAAGTAGCGCACAGTAGCAAGTCTGAACTCTCTGGACTGTAGTGCCAGGAATTCCGGGGTGCAGCGCTGAGCCCTGTAGAGAACTTTCTTCCCTGCCATGGTCTCCATGGTAGTTCCTCTTTGGATGCCTAAGGTTATAAGATACGAACCGCACTATTGGCTGGCCAAAAGAGGCACTACATGGGAGTTTCCGAAAATAGGGGTACCTTATTTAGGGGTCCTTATAATAAGAATCCTACTATTTAGGGTACAATATTAGGGTCCCCTATTTTCGGAAACTCCCATATTACTGTATCAACGGTTGCCCGCTCAGCTGCTATGTTACGGGAGTTGGTCGCAATTCGTTTGTAAGATCGTTTGCCGTAGAGGGTACAACTCTTCAAGCCTTCCTGATACCTCCAGTTATAGATATGACTCACTCCCACGCCCTGTTCCAATTATTCCACCCCCCCAATTCTCAAACCAACAAACCCTTATTTAAAGGAACCCCTTAGAGGAATCCCAACTATCCCGTCCCTGTGGTAGGGACGCCGAGGGGGCCTCCTCTGCATCTTCTCAAGCTCGGACGCGTGGATCGGGCCGTTGTGCATTCCATGCAGCCAAACCACCAGGTACCTGCACAAAACACAACCCTGAACCCTTTAAGAAAGTCGCCGAAAACCATGCAAAATCCTACAGCTCCCTTCACAACCCAGACAAAAGCCCCATGAAGCGCTGTGAAAACATCCGGAAGGGCGAAAACATTAACCCGATGAAACCCTATACGACCTACGAAAGCATGTGCAACTATGAAACCCTTGAACCCATGGCAAAACCCTGTCCAACCCTACGACAAAGCGGTGTCAATGCCACATGAAGCACTACAACAACTCTCCCCAAGAATCTTATGGCCCTTTATAACACCCTTGCAGGAACCCCTTTAAGGAATTATTTGGGGAACCCTGCTAAAGATACGTCCTTTCTGCCCAAATCTGAAACCTAAACCTTAAACCCGTAAAACCCAAATGCAACCCCATGCTGTAGGAACCCCTGTCAAGAGCCCGCTTTACAGACACCCTTTCGGCCTAAACCCGAAAACCAAAACCCGGAAATCCAAAACAATAAGCCCTGAACCCTTTGAAGAACCATTTACACTTTAAAGAACCCTTTGATAGAATGTTAATGAAACCCCATTTAGAGATCCGAATCCGAAACCCCAAACCCTTCTAGAGCCCTTTAACTTATCAAACCCGTTAAAGACAACTTGAACGGAACCTTAAAGAAACCTCATTTAAAAGAGTCTGATACCCAAAGCCCCTAAACCATTAAACCCTCAACCCCTAAACCTCAAAACCTCATTTAAAGACACCTTTGAAGACCCGTTAAAGAGCCCTTCTAGAACCCGCACAGAGCCCGGTAAGGAACTCTTAATGGAACCCATTCAAAGGCCCTTAACCCCTACACCCTACACCCCCAAACCCTTGAATGCCCCTAGACCGTGATCCCTAAACCCTACAACCCATAAACCCGTAAATGCCCCTGAACCCTAAACCCCTGAGCCCTAAAACCCCTAAGCCCTAAACCCCTGAACCCTAAAACCCCAAGCCCTAAAACCCTAAACCCGAAACCCTCATTTAAAGACACCTTTAAAGAACTCTTCAAGAACCTTTCACGGAACCCTTAAAAAACCCTCATAGAGCCTTTTCAGGAACCCTCAAAGAACCTCATTCAAAGGCCCTTAACTCCTGAACCCTACAGCCCTAAAGCCCCTAAACCCCTAAATGCCCCTAAACCTCCACCAAAGCCTCTAAACCCTAAAACCCCAAAAGCCTAAACCCTAAAAACCCTAAACCCTAAAACCCCTAACCCTAAACCCTAAACCCTAAACACCAAAACCCCAAAGCCCTAAACCCCCAAAACCCTAAAACCCCCAAAAGCCCTGAATTTAAAGATCCTGTTGATGATACAAATCCTGCATTACCCATAATAAGGAATATACCATAATTCCCATAGTTTAGGGTCCTTAAGGTAATCATCAACCGCACCCCTCCGTCGCGGCCAAGGAGCGGTGGCTCCTCAAGCTGCCATGGGGCCAGGTCCCTGGTGGACTCGTAGAGGCGCAAGGAGCAGGGCCCGAAACCTATGGGACGCTTAAAGGGGTTAGGGGTTTTGGGGGTTTAGGGCTTTTAGGGTTTAGGGCTAGGGAATTTAGGGCTTGGGGAATTTAGGGATTTTCAGGGTGTGGGGGTTCCTTAAAGGGGTTCTTTGAAGGGTTTAGGGTTGGGTTTGATAAGGAGTGGGGTTTAGGGTTCCTTAAATTTCAACTAAAGGGCTCTATGAAACCTGTGGGAGTTTTTTGGGAGTTCCCTAAAGGGTTCCATAAACGGTTCTTTAGAGGGTTCCTTAAAGGGTTCTTTAAAGTGTTCCCTTTTGTAAGGGTTCCTGAAAGGTTCCTATAAGGGTTCCTTGAAGCGTTCTGAGAGGGTTCCAAAAACTTGGGGGAGTTTTGGAACTTAGAGGCTCGCTAAAGGGTTCTATATGGGCTCCTTAAAGGGCTCTATGCACATGCAAACAGCAGGGCCCCAAACCTGGGCGAGTTTAATTCGGGGTGGGTTCCATTGCAATCATTACATGGAGTTTACGGGCTTCTTAAACTAAAGGGTTGCAGGGGTTAGGGGTATAGGGGTTTATGGTTTAGGTTTTGTTGGTGGGGTTTCAGGGTCAGGAGGAGCTTGGGGGTTCCGTATAGGGTTCTATAAAGGGGAGTTAAGGGATTCTGTTAAGGGCTCTATCAAGGGAGCTTCTGGCCCGAAACTTGGGGGCTGGGGTTTGGGGATTTAGGGGTTTGAGGCTGCCTTAAAAAGGATCTCCTTTAAAGGGATCCATAAAGGCTCTATAAGGGATCTAAAGGGTTTAGGGTCTCGGGAAAGCGTGCTTGGGTTCCTAAAAGGGTTTCGGGTTTCGGGTTATGAAGTCGAGGGATTCTAAGGGGTGGGGGTCCATGAGTCTAGGGTCTATAAGGGGTTCAAGGGCTTCTAAATGAAGGATTTAGGGTTTACAAGGGCTTTGGGTTTTTGAGGCTTGGTTTGAGGGTTCAGGCTGTTCTCCTTGTTTCGGGTATTGGAGTTTGGGGGAGCCGGGGAGCCATTTTCAGAGTGCGACACAAGTCTTCCTGTATGCTGACTCGACCCAGCCTGAGATCTAGTCCGAAGCTTTACAATCCACGGTTCGCTGCTTCGAGGATCGAACCATATCGAACCCTAAACACCTAAAGTACAAACCCTAAACCCTAAAGATAGGAGTCCGGAAGGCAAGAAAACATGCGCGCCAGGGTGTTGGCTGCTCTCTGGCAGTAAGTGTATCAAGCAACCCGCCTAAGGGAAAGCATCCGCTGAAGCTTCATGCCCCTATGTTACCGCGGCTTCATGGCAAGGTACCGATGCCGGTCAATTCATCCTCCCACCTCGGCATCAAGACATGTCACTAGGATGCCCGGTAACCTAGGAAGGAAACGGGCTCCCTTTTTATATTGGGTCACTGTATACGGAACCTGACTACAAAAAGGGGAAAAGTGTCTACTGGGAGGCCCAGGTCAGATATGGGAGTTTCCGAGAATAGGGGATCCTAATATAGTACCCTAAAGAGTAGGATCCTTATTAGAAGGCCCCAAGATAAGGTGCCCTTATCTTTGGAAACTCCCGCGAGGCCACAGGCCCAGGCGTCTTGAGGATCACCTCAGGTACCCTCCACCTAATCCTCCTCCCTGCAGTCCGAAAGTTTGGAGACACCCTGTTTTTCTCCCAACGAAAAAGAGCAGCACCGCAAACCGTTTAAGGTTGGGGTTGAGAGGCCCCCCTAGCATGGTGTATGCGACATCCACTGCCCCCTCGCCCTGCCGCTAAAGAGTCAGGCGGGCGGCGTAGCGTTAAAATTAGTATGAATGCCCTATATTATCTTGAGGGTTTAAATATTTCGAGCCACACGATAACCGTGGGTAGCTGAAATCTGCCGAGCTGCAATTCGCGAATCATTGCCAGATTCTGGCCGGGGAAGCCAAGCTATGATGGCTTCAGCAACTTGGTGCTTTAGGTTTATCTCGGTTGGCCCCTTAAAGCCTCTGAATAATATTCGTAAAAAGGGTCCTATTAAGCCCAATAAGGGGAAATATGAAATGTCTAGCTATGGTTTATATAGGGTTTACGGCTCAGCAACTTTTAAGTCCCGAAGCTAGCTTTCTGGGCCCCCGGCACGCTCCATAAACCACCTTAACATACTTCCCACCACGGCAATATACCACGTGGCAGGTTTCTAGAGCATATACTTACGGCCTAAAGAGCGGCGTGCAAAGTGGCTTCTCGCCAGTACTGTATCCTCGGCTAGAAAGGTCAGCATTTGCTGCTTGGATACATCAAGCCCGAAACCAAACCCCAAAGCCTACACCCGAGCGATGCGAGCGTAGTGCTGAAACGTAGTCACCGATATCGCGAAGCCTCTATTCTTCGTGCATGCTAGTGTTTCGTGTTTAGCATGCCACTCGAGCATCGCCCCTGCAACCTTGACAATGGTTTCTTTCCTCATGCGAGCTGAGCTTGATCCTCAGATATCTGCACACCGGCGCCAGAATCAGCCTTGTGTCAAGAGTTTCCGGGCTTCAAGGTTGAGGGTTTCAGGGTTCACGGTTTCGGATGCAGTATTTGATAAGGGCAGTTTGTGCTCTATTGGCTTAACAGCAGTTTAGGGTTTAGGGGTGCAGGCGTACAGGTTGCATTTAAAACTCCGAACAGCCTAAAAAAGAAAGACTAAAACCCCGGCCCTGTGCCCTAAACCCTACAACCCTAAACCTCAAACCCTAAATCTCGTTGGACCCATGCCTCCCTGCAAAGCACTTGCGAGGCTTTTCACACAGGCGGGTCGCACAAGCACCGGTTCAAGGAGCGGCTTACCTGCCACGGGGTGGGAAGCCAAAGCCAGGGTTTAGGGTTCAGGGTTTAGGGGTTTACTTGGAGGTTCAGGGGTAGTTATAAGTCGGGTTATAAGTCCCCTAATATGGGTTATAAGCATAGTTACCCTACTTATAACCCTACTTATAAGTACCCCTGAACCTCCAAGTAGGGTTTAGGGGTCTCGGGCTGAAGCTAGGGTTTTGTTTCAACCCCCGCAAAACCTAAAGCCCAAACCCTAAAGTAACACCCCCAGGGTTTTAAGACTGTAGGGTTTTGGTTTAAGGCTTACGATTTAGGCCAAGGATTAGGGTTTAGGCCACAGAAGGTCGGTTACCCATATCGTTTACTACATATCTCTTTGTGGAGCTTCAGGGAGACCTCGACTGGGAAGTGCTGTTCCTGAAATCCCCCGACATGCTGTTGATGATATAAACCCCGCATTACCCACAATAAGGAATCTACCATAGCTCCCACAGTTTAGGGTTTAGGGTCCTTCAAATAATGCGGGACTTATACCATCAACCTTACCAGAGCCTATATCATGACCGCAGTACTGCAGTATGGTATGGGCACCTCGTCTCAACTGAGCCACAAGATATGCCTTATACAGGTACTCAAACCCGAACGTATGGGCCTGGAAGGTCCGACCAAGGCTTGCAGGGCTTGTATGCTATGCTGCTATAAGGGTGGCTGTCAAAACTAGGGTCCCTTTTTGGGTCCTTACTATAATACGGCATCTATTATTTAGGGTACCCAAAAGGAACCCTAATTTTAACAACTGCCCATACAAAGTCAGGCCCTGACAACAAAACGCAACCCTCCCAGACCTTGCCTCAACTCAAGCAAGAAATGGGAGCTTCCGAAAGTTAGAGGTACCTTACTGTGGGGTCCTACTTCTAAGGATCCCACTATTTAGAGTTCTTTGTTAGGGTCCCCTATTTTCGGAAACTGCCAAATCCTGCAATGCACTCCTCCCATAAGGCAGTCTCAGATGAGTGGAGGCATCTAACCAGCTCGCCCGGCTGGGCTTAAGAAGCTTTACGCAGTAGTCGAGTATAGGTAACCTTTAGCCTTTTTGGGTAGTATAGTCCCAAAATAATGCCGATATAACCAAAAAGGTCAAACTTTAGTTCCCCATGATACCCGACAAGAAGCTTTAATGTCCGGAATCAAGGCACTTCAAAGCAACTCCACGCGTGTTCTCCACGCAAAACCCCGAACAGCCCCCAAACCCCAGAACCTGGCCCTAACCCACCGAACCCTGAACCCCACACGTTACACCCTAGGCCCCAGACCCGAATGACCCCAAACTCTAAACCGAACATTCGGTTTCTTCGGAGCCCAAACAAGCGCGCACGCCGAGATCGACTTTCGATGGAAGGACATTGACATGTCTGGCGGTAGACGCATGTCTGAAAGTGGGAATGCAACCATGTCGGGGTTAAGGGTTCCCAGAGCCTCCCAAACCCCCTAATTAAGGAATATACCTTAAATTATAGTAGGACCCCTAATATGATTTAAGGTATATTCCTTAATTAGGGGTTTCGGAGGCTATGGGTTTAGGGTTTAGGGTACACATCTGTGTATGTGTGTACGTATGTCATATATGTATATATACACACACACGCATGTATGTGCACCATTCAACTTTTTTGAGTATAGCAGACTCATGTACTTATGAGGTTCAGACTGAGAGCGATGCGCTGCTTTGGACATTGCACAGGTCCCGCATAGATGTGTTTGGATCCACACTGTGCAGTTGTGCAGCCCTGCAGCATGCACGTCCTGCCCCGAAAAAGAAAGTCCTGCGCTTCGCGCCGAGGACCTTGAAACCCGTTAAATACTCTGGCGTGGATCAACATGGTTGCAGTTTCCTTCGAAGGCGAGGTGCCCTCCATGATCGTTTGCTGTATCCTACTCACTTTTGTGATGTAGGGCCCGAGGGCAGCAAGCCGCTGCACGGGAACCTGGGCTTCCGGGGTTGGATTGATTTACATCTCAACATGGCCGCCAGCCAATGCCAACGAATAAATCCGCTGACATTCCGACGGGTCCCCTTTCAGACCCAGCTGCAGGAAGCCAGGAATCCATTGACCTCTGGCAAAGTCGGCTGCAGCCCATTTCCTACAGTTTACGGGATCCAACTTGGCGCCAGCTGCTATCAAAGCCGCTGCAGCCTCGAATTGAGCCGACTTGATGGCTTGCATCAGCGGCGTGCTGCCGTGCCTGGTTGTTCTTCCGACATTGGAGTCTATAACCCCCCTTAGAACCGTAACAAAAAAACAGTATCGTTGATATTCTCTTGGGCCACTCTTGGGTTTTATATATTCCGAAGGAGACAGAAATATTACTACAATTATTACTATTACTATTGTTTCTACTATTACTATTATTGCTATTGTTACGACAATAGGAGTTGCTTAACAGGAGTTAAGAGCCCTAAACACCCTTGTAAGAACCCTCAGACAGCCAAACTGATCTGAAACCCTCTCGTAACAAACGCAGCTCTGACAAAAAGGACACATCCTGAAGGCCTCTCAGCATGCTTGCTTTAACATATACCTTAACCCTGAATAACCTACCTTTTTTAGGGTTCCTTATTATGATTTCCTTATATAAGTCCTTAAAAAGGTAGGTCCTTCAGGGTTAAGGTACAGTTCCTCAGCAAGATTAGTTGCCTGGACCCCAAAAGCACGTCGAATAATGGCCTCTTATAGGAGCTGCTGGGTCATGATTTTGCCTACTTTTGAGGGTTTAGGTAAGGATATAACAACAAACCTAGGTGCACCTCTTGAAGCCAGATGCACCTGGGGTTTCATCGGCAACAGCGACGAGACATGATGGAGATCCACAGCCACTTTCCCAACCCCCCCCTTAAACCTTCAACCCCAAATCCACCCCACAGAACACGTAATCCCATCAATACGCAAGTGGACACATAACACACATTACAAGGCACAAATAGAACAACCACAACAGACAAAAACAAGCCCGGATGCAGATGGTAGATTACCCTAACCTTTAAACTCCAAGCCTAAATCCCTAAACCCTGAAACGCCTGAAGCCTAAACCCAAAAGCAAACCTAGAATGAGCCCAGATGCAGATGATAGACATGATAGCTTCCGACCGAGACCGGGCCGAGACGATGCTTCGCGGCATGGAAAGCCACAAACAGACGGCCAAGTAGACTCCTGGGCCCCATGAATGTACATTAGAAGGGCCCCCACCCTGTACTTGGAGGCCCTTTTGACTTAGTAGGTCTACTTAGTATCCCCTAGAAACCCTATTATAATCCCCATAACTTACCTTACTAACCCTACTTACTAAGTCAAAAGGGCCTCCAAGTATAGTAGGAATATAATAGGGCCCCAAAAAAACCCTTATAGTCACTATTACAGGGTGGGGGCAGCTTCTAAAATGTACGTTTGATGTTCCTTAACGGGTTCCTTGAAGACTCCTGGGTTCCGTGTGGGTAGTTGTCAAAATTATAGTCCCTTTTTGGGCCCGTATTATGATACGGGCGAGGGTGCCCAAAAAATTTAGTTTTGACAACTACCCATGTACTTTGGGGTTTCTTGAAGACTCTAACCCACAGACTCCAATATCCCTTAATTAAGGAATATAGTCTTTAGATCATATGAGGGATCCTACAATGATTCAAGGTATGTCCCTTAATAAAGGGATATGCGAGTCTCTGGGAAGCGGGTTGTCTAAAGAGTTACATCGTAGGATCCTCCGTAACCTAGAAATAATGAGGGCTTGTTTAGGGTATTGGATAGTTTTATTGAGACCCTAAGAGACCAAAAAAGGGCAAAAGGGCCACTAAACACCTGGTGTAATTTTAGGGCTCCTTAAATAAAGGGCTCCTAAAGATTATGAATGCGCTCTCTTAAGGTGGGCTTCGTCAAAGTCAGGGGTTAGGTTTAGGATTAGAAGTTGTGGTGTTATCTTCAGGGTTACGGTTAGGGTGTTTAACGGATTCCTGTTATGAGGTTCCTGCGACGGAACTGGTAGTGTTTGCTCTCTCCCTCTCTCTCTCTCTCTCTATTTCTCATTGTCTTTCTCTCTGTCTCTCTCTCTCTCGCTCTAGCTCCATCCCTCTCTCCCTCCCTCTCTCTCTCTCTCTCTTTCTCTCTCTCTCTCTCTCTCTCTCTCTCTCTCTCTCTCTGTCTCTCTCTCTCTCTCTCTCTCTCTGTCCCCGTTATCCTTTACAACGTTACAACCCTTCCTTAAAACCCCGCTAGCCTTCTTAAGCTATTCGTGCTGATGATTTAGTTGGACAACTTGAAAAAGTTAGGACGCTTACATACTGTAGGGGCCTTGATAATAATTGGATAATTGGAATAGGGTTTTCCGGCTCATTGTACTATAAAGAGGACCCCCCCCCCCAAAAAAAAAAAGAGGGAGTTAGTAAGGCCCTTTTTTATACATAAAAAGTAAAGCCCAGAGTCACGTCGCGTGGAAGACTAAGCTGGAAGTCGACTTCAGCACGGAGGCCGATCAAGCGTTGGACCAGGTCTGCCGAACCCCCTCGAAAGGCTGTGGCGCACCAAAGTGCCTCTGGGACCCAAGGATCCTTCTAACAGTAAAGTCCCTATTACATCCTTGGTATTGAATGCCTAGATGGTATGATGAACCTTAAACCCTTTTGGGGTTGATTTAGTCTTCAAGGTGCGCGTGAAAGAATCAGCGGTTCCGGGCGCTGCTGCAGGTAAAACTGCTCTAGGGCTTCTGTGGCGCCATTGCCAGCTGCACTCTCAAAGCAGGTGACGCCCATTGCAGAGCTCAATGTCTGCTGCTTGCCGGCTGCCGCATGCAGCAGCCGGACACCCTCTGCATCATCAGAGTTTCCAGCACAGTGGATGGCGGGTACGAGTCCACCTTCAAGGTCAGCTTTCGCGGCAAGAAGTAACTTGGTGGCTGCACGATGTTTGTAGTGAGCTGCCAAATCCAGGGCCGACATCCAGCGTGGCAGACCCAGCATCGGGTCATCCCTTGATGTGCGCTTGTTCACATCCGCGCGCTGCTCGAGCAAGCCTTCCAAAACTACTGTGTTCCCTGCCAAAGCCGCATAATGCAACGGCCGCCACCCTGCACTGTCGGCCTGCGTGACACTTCTCAAGCCGTTCTGGTGCAGGAACTCTGACACTCCATGGCCACTGCTAGGAAGAAAGCCGGGCAGAATCTCAGTCTCCAGCCCACGCAGATGGACTGCCTGGAGATTGAAGTGGCGCCGGAATGCAGGAAGGTCGCCTGTCTTCAGGAAATGGTTCAGCGTGCGCAGCAGGATGTGCCGCATGACCGGTGCCAGCTTCTTCCGATCCCGTGCGAACGTGAATTCACCTTCTCCGACGGTGCCACACGGAAAAGACATGGCTGTACCAACAACTTCCATGGAAGTTGTGCTCTGCATCAGAATCCAGGTGCTGTTGCGAGACAGCTCTCGCGCAGCCCTCTCAACTCTGCACCAACCACGCCGACTCCAAGTGGCAGCAGTTAGCATCTGATTCGCTTCGGAGCTTTCCAGGACTGGGCAAAGTGCCACAAAGAAATGACAGCTAGCTACATAGGCCGGGATGCTGTCGATGGCCTGGAGTTGTCGTACCAGCTGACAGTCTCTCTCATCCGACTCGCATTGCTCCGGTTGAGGGCATGAGAAATAATCGTACCAGAAGAACAGGGGCTGCTTCTGAAATTCCTGCATGGGTAACGGCCGAGCGGGTTTTACGAGTGTTCCCGTCATGAAATCCAAGGAAACAGATCCATTTTGGCAGGTCAGGAGCCGCTTTATCGCATCTTGCAGAATGCGCATCTGAGCAAGCTGAGGATCCGGGTGGTGTTTGGTGAGCCACTGGTGAGAGACGAACGCTGCCCTGCCCATGTTGTCGTGAAAGACAACGAGCTCATCCCGCGCCTGAACATGGAAGCCGGATGGGCGCGTCTGCAGGGACTGGGGTCTTGTTAAGGCACTAGATTGGAGAAACCACAATGAGAAAATCATATTTCATAACATAGGCCCCCATTGTGGTAACTTCTTAACAACGGGTCAGCTAGAAATCCTAATCGTATCGAAACAACCTCACCAAAAACATCCTAGGGTTTAGGGCTCAGCGGTTGGGGCTTCAGGGAGCAAGGTGTGCGGTAGTGGGTTTCCCAAACACGGCGCTGATAGTAACCCTTCTTTAAAACCCCCGTATAGGAAGGTAAACGTTCGAAGGACTTGAAAGCGCTAAACAAATCCCAGCTCAACCCTTTAACCTTATCCACAAAGGAGCCCTCAAAGGGAGCCCCTCAAAGTCCTTGAAAGGACCCTTAAAGGAACCCTAAACCCTCAACCCTGAAAGGAACCCTGAACCCTAAACCCTTAAAGGAAACCCTAAACCCTGAAAGGAACCCTAAACCCTGAACCCTGAAAGGAGGAAGCCTTCATCTCCTCGTGGGGCAGCAAAGTCGTCAGCTTCAGCAGCACATCCGAGGCAACGGTGTACATGGGGAAGTGCTGAGGAGCCTCAGGGCACTAGGGGTTCAGGGTTTAGGGGTTCAGGGATTCAGGGTTTAGGGGTTTGGGTACAGGATTTAGGGGTTAAGGGTTCAGAGTTCCGGGGTTAAATGCTCGGGGTTTAGTGAGGAAGTATCGAAAAGCCTAAGGTGGTGCTGAGGGTTTTCGGTGCTTTACGAGTATGAGGGGTTTAGTTTTTTGGGAGCCTAGGTGTTATGTTACGGTTTTTCGGCATGTAGGCCCTGGATCAAGAACACCGCTTTCTTTGAGGGCCTTCAGATACGGATCCCTACAATAATCCTTCATGGGAGTTTCCGAAAATAGGGGACCCTAATATAGTACCCTAAATAGTAGGATCCTTATTATAGGGACCCCAAAATAAGGTACCCCTAATTTTCGGAAACTCCCTCATGAGTTTACATGTCTGGTGATGCCCAGCAGCGTCTGCCACATCGGGCAGAGATTTGCCATAGATCTCCAGCGGCGTAGGGGTGTTCTCCGAAATACAGGAGGCCATCGTGCTCAAATGGCGACGGCTTGAGTTAACAACGAAAAACTGGAAAGCCCGAGCCAAGCGAGAGCAAGGACACATTATGTACAGAGGTGTGTGTGTGTGTGTGTGGACGTGTGTGTGTGTGTGTGTGTGTGTCTGTGTGTATGTCTGTGTGTGTCTGTGTGTGTGTTTTGTAAAAAGTATTTATCACATCCTATGATGCGGTCCAAACAGACACCCGGCCTTCACAGACACCCAGGCATACCTTCGATCGTACACGGACGTCCGGCATCAGCTTTGGAGGATGGTCTCATTTTCTGTTAATAGAGGGGCCTTAAAAATTAGAACGGGGTTTTGGGGCCCACGATACTATAACTATAATAAGGAGCCCCCAAAATAGCATTGGTAAATATTTACGCCCCTGTAGCATCCGAATCTGGGGGTTTTGAAAATCTGCCGGAGGTGCACGGAGCGAGGGCCCTGCAAGCGCAACAAGAACGTTAACTGATAATACGAGTACAGATCGACACATATTTCTATAAACGTATAGAGTATAGCCTTGTGCATCTACAATGTATATCTGCATAGGCATGAGTGTGTTAGGTGTTCATGCATATATATTATATATATACATATATATATATATATGCATATTATGTATGTAGGTATGTATGCATGCATGCATGCATGCATGCATGTATGTCTGTCTTGCATACATACACACATACCTTCATGCATACGTGCATACATACACACACACACACACACACACATCCATGCGTACATGTGCACATGCGTCATGCGTCCATCCATCCATCCATCCATCCATCAATCTATCCATCCATCCATCCATCCATCCATCCTCCATCCATCCATCCCCATCCATCCACCCATCCATGCCCATCCATCCACCCATCCATGCCCATCCATCCCAATCCATCCATCCCCATCCATCCATCCCCATCCATCCCCATCCATCCACCCATCCATGCCCATCCATCCCCATCCATTCCCATCCATTCCCATCCATTCCCATCCATTCCCATCCATTCCCATCCATCCAGCCAGCCATCCATCACTGCATGCTTGCATGCAGTCATTCGTACATTGTTGCGTACAGCATGCATGCATGCACGCATACCTTCATGCATATGATTACACGGGTAGATAGGGCATACAGTGAACCTGACAGATCCAGCATACAGCAAGCTCGAGACATGACTACCTAGGCTCCTGAGTAGGTCTGTTTTAAATGGGGAACCCTAAAACAACAAAGGACGAAAGGGTAGTACCCAGAAACCTAGCCGCACATCAACTCTATGGTTACAGCCCGTCGGTCTTTCCTATTGGCGGAGAGTCGTATGCGGATGGAAGAGAAAAGTTGTCCTCTCAAAGGACTACCGACAGGGCCATATGCCTGAGCCTTGTCGCAAGACTTCCAGAGAATCAACCCTGAACCCTAAACCCCTTAAAGAACGTACCCTATCCCGATCTGCTTGTCGTAAAAAAAACCGACAACCCTGTTGAGGAGATCCGGAGACGGCCGCAAAGCCTGAATATGGGGGCCGAGTGGTCTTAGCTACCGATTGGGGGTTCTGGGCCCTCAAGGTCCTATAACTATCTATTGGGTATATGGGAGTTTCCGAAAATAGGGGTACCTTGTCTTGGGGTCTGTATAATCAGGATCCAAGAATCCATAAGGATCCTACTATTTTTTATGCTATATTAGGGTTCCCTGCTTCCGGAAACTCCCATATAAGTTTTCCGGACCCCAAACCCTAAACCCTTTGGGGGGGGGATTTGGTCTTTCGGCAAGGCTTGGGTCGGGGTCTTGGCATTTTCGTGTGTCAGTTTGGGAATTGGGTTTAGGGCTTAGTGTTTCGGTTTTAGGATTTCGGGATAGTTGAGGTTAGTTTGGGATTTGGGTTTAGGGTGTAGTGTTTGGGGTTTTTTAGGGATAGTTGAGATCGCACTGAACCCCTAACCCGAAAAGCCTATCTCGGCCTGCTCCTCGCACTGCTGCAGTTGGCCTGCCACCTCACCGGAGAGCCACTAAGCTAAGTGCAGGGTTCAGGGTTGAGGTTTTCGGGCAGGCGCCGTGCCGTAAGGTTGGGTGGGTATGCAGCCTAAACCCTAAACCCTGACCCCCTCACAAGATATGGTCCTTACTTCGCAGCACATGCTGCCTATCGGTCCCAACAACATCCTTGCTTGTCTTGCGTTGCTCCAAGCCGTCCATCGCCACAGCAACAACGAGTAACGACAACGACAACACGACAACAACGACAGCAACGGCAGCAACGGCCGCGACGACAACGACGACGACGACGACGACAAGGACGACGACGGCGTCCACAAAAGCAACAACGACCTAAACAACAAGAAAAACAACACCACCACCACCAACAACAACAACAACAACATCATCAACACCGACACAACAAGCGCCTTGTGGGGCGCGCCCAGTATGCCTTTGCTGCTGACTCTAACGGACGGGGATCCAGCCTTTGTGTGTTGTTCTGCCCAGTACCCCCTCGCCTTACCTCCGGGGCGGGGTCGGGGGGCCGGGTATCTTTTCGGGCGCGTCCTTTTGTTCGCCAGTCTTTCTCTACCAGCAACAACACAGTACCAACCAAACAAGCAAGCAAGTCAGCAAGCTAACAAACACAAACAAAAACAACCAACGAACCAACCAACCAATCAACCAAACAAACAACCAACCAAACAAACGAACAAGCACAAACAAACAACCAATCAACCGATCAATCAATCAATCAATCAATCAACCAACCATTCATTCAATCAATCAATCAATCAGCCAGCCAATCAGTCAAAACATCAAATCAAAGGAACAAACCAATCACTTAGTCAAGTTTAATCAGTCAACCATTCGATCAAATCAGATAATCACATCAAATCAACGTAAATCAAGTCAGCTCAGCCAATCATTCAATCAAACCAAATCGAATCCAATAATTTCCAAAAACAACTCAATCAGTCACGAAATCAAAGCAAAACAAACCGAATCAAATTAAATCGAATCGTTAACAAACCAATCAAGCACCACTGCCGCTGCACTAGCCTAGGCACCACAACCAACAAAACCACAACAGCAAGCACAAGAAACAACACAACCACGAGCAACACAATCCTGGACACAACAACATCAAGGAAAACCACAACCTGAACGACCACTACCGCAAACATAACCACAACCGCTTCGGTTCAACCAATCACAACAACCACAACAGCATGTCAGAACTACACAACCGCAACAGCAACAACCAGACCAACCACAACTTAATGCACTCTCACCTGTCACATCGAGCTGGGAAACACATGGCATCACCTGCATACCCATGTGCAAACACTGCTCGACATTACAGTCTGATTACTTGCAGCCTCAGGTGCAACAAACTTCTGTGGCTCGAAACGCACGTAAAGTAAGGTTTATAAAATGCCTGCTTAGGCAGAGGAAAAGCAAAACGCTCCACTCACCAGCAGTCCTTCAGAGCGCAACATACACTGACCAAAGCCCTCTCATACACCCGACTTCTCATGAGGAGCCCCGAAAGCCCGAAACTCTGGCCAGTAACATAGACAGCGCTTCACATACACTGGGCGGCGAGCGCCGATGAAGACCAGCCGTGAAGATGTCGGCGGTCTCATGACGCAGGGTTTCGGTTCTCGGAGATAGCCCTGAATGCAAGCGTACCGGCACAAATATATGCCCACTGCCTACCGACCCTAAACCCTAAACGCTTAAATAAGGAGACATCCTATGTTTAAAGGAACGCCGTTCAGGAATCAGGCTCCCTTGGCCAGGAAAGCCACGGCACCAAGGCCTAACACCTTAAACACCCTAATATAGGGGCCTTGATTAGAATAGGGTTTGGGGCCCACTAAACTATAATTACGATAAGCAGCCCCAAACTAATCGGCCCCTATATTACACATCCCAAGCCCTAAACCCTTAGCCCTATCCCCGCAAACCCTAGCAGGCGTTGAATCGAGTCCGGATGCAAAAACCTCAGCAATCGACACTGTGTCGCCTACTTATGAGGAACACGTGCAAGCGGCAAAGCTTCGCAGACTTGCAGCCCTGCTGCGGAAAGCGTGATCCTAGCAACCGAAGACCGGCAGCGTTTAGGGCGGTTTAGGATTTAGGGCAGTTAAGGTTTTAGGGTCCAAGGTTCAGGGATTAGTGGACGATCTTGCTTAGTTTGTCAGGGCTCGACGGAGTTCCAGGGGGTTTGAAGAGGCTTCATCTAAGGGTTCTGTAAGGTTCCACGATCTGCAGGGCTTTGTAGGTTTAGGGTCATACTGGATTTTGCTCGCGTTTAGGAATCAAACGTTTCTGGTCTTCGGATGTTTTAGGGTCGGAGTTTGACGGTTTAGGGTGCAGGGGATACTGGGCGCCATATTTAGCAGGCCACCCTTTGCTGACTCCAGACTGAGTGCAGCACCCTCCTGCTGCTACTGTCTCGAACGGGTTCGTCCTCACCGCTGCAGGTTCTTACCTTTCGTTAGTAGGGAATGGAAGAATGGTAGTAATACTGTTGATGATATAAATCCTGCACTACCTTAAGGACCCTGAACTATGGGAATGGTATATTCCTAATTATGGGTAATGCAGGATTTATATCATCAGCCGTAGTAGTTATAATTATACCCCATTCCTCCATTCCCTGCTAACCCAAGGTAAGGGTTTCAAGCTTCTGCGTGCAGGATTTCGACACCTGACAAAACTACCACAACCTACTTTCTTGATACATCCTCTGCTAGGGCTTGTTGTAAGACCCTACAAAAGAGTGGGCTGTAAGATACGGCCGGAAGGTGGTAGTACAACTCCCATGCAACACGGGAGCATCGTGAGCAAGGTCGTAGCTTAGCTGCTTGGAGAGCTCGGGAACCTCGCAGAGACCTGTTTCTCATGCATGCCATCGCAGACCCTCGACCCGAAGCGGCTGGATATGGGAGTTTCCAAAAATTAGGGGTACCTTATTTTGGGGGTCCTTATACAAAGGATCTCATTATTTAAGGTACTATATTGGGGTCCCCTATTTTGGGAAACTCCCATATGTTCAGGGGTTAGGGGAGAACAGACCACCTAAAGGCAAGCACACGCATCTCAACCAACAGTAAACTCACGATCTGGAAGGTGGAACAAGTTTCTGTTAACAAATGGCGGTTTGAAGAATGAGCTTCGCGGTTTGAGTCCCGAACCTTTCAAAGCCTTTGAGTCTTCTTGAGCTTGAGTTCCCATGACATGACGGCGCGTTTCACGACCACCGCCACCGTCACCACCACCGACAAGATCAACAAGCATCATCATCATCATCGTCACCATTGCCAGTGTCATGAATCATCATCACTATCTGTGTCATCACCATCATCATCATCATGACGGCATGTCCCGTGGCCTGTTGCCGGACAGTTGGAAGATGACGTGCCGCGGGACGCCGCTCCTGCATCTTGCTTTTAGCTATGCTGAACTTAGAACCCTAGCAACAAATATAATTTTAGCTGTTTCTTAGGGATTATAATCACCAAAAATTACAAATTATTTCCTAAGTACCCCTAAGTACTAACCATTACCCCACGGCTCGCAGTTAGGCTTCGAGACCGTAAAACGTACCATCCGACGCTTTCGTTCTATTTCTGTAAGATGTTAACCGTGCAGGGTTGATGCCTGTTTGGGAGATTCCGGAAACTTCCTACAAAAATCCCCATTATAGAACCCTTAAAGATCCCTTGAAGGACCCCTTTAAGGGAACCCTAAGGTGCCCCCAATTTTCGGAAACTCCCATATCTCACAAGGAAGCTGCGGCCACAGGACCTCGGCTCTTACTGTAATCCCGTACAAGTACAGCCGGACTCCAGAAGGATACTTGGAGGGTCGGGGGACTTAGTAAAGGTTCCTTTAAAGGGCTTTATTTATAAGGGTAGCATAGGGTTTAGGGTTTAGGGGTTCGGGGACTTAGTAAGTAGGTAGTAAGTAGACTTATAAGTACCCCAAAAGGGACCCTAATTGGGGTTGTGGTACTTATAAGTCCCTAAAATAGCCAGTTACTAAGTCCCCCGACCCTCCAAGTGTGAATTACTTGGAACCCCAACAGACCAAAACCTGCCCTGTCCTAAAACTTGAACCCCGGACCCAGAACCTCGAACCCGAAAAAATTGCGACCCAAACACGAACTTCCACGTAGCTGAAGTCCGTACTTACACCACGATTTTGCGTTGAGAAATTACCACAGAACCCCAATTCCCAGACCTTCCAAAACCTCCTAATTCAGGAATTTACCTTAAGTTATAGTAGGATCCTTAATACTATTTAAAGTATATTCCTTAACTAAGGGATTTTGGAAGGTGCAGGCTTCCCCTGCAAGAACTGACTGTCTGCCCAGGAGCATCCAAAGAAGACCCTTCGCGCGGCATACGCCGTTGGGCGGCCCTTCCTGCTCAGGGTTTAGTAACGTTTGTAGGGCCCCCAAAAGCACCTAAGCAAAAACATGGATAGGGATATCCCATATAAAACCCCTTATAATGAAGCCCAAAAAGGTGGGGATATCCCTATAAAATGCTTATGCTTGTTTGCTTTTTGGGTCCCTAAGTTTGAGTTTAGAGTTTAGAGTTTTGGGTTCAGGGTTTGGTGGCATTTGATGTTTAGGGTTTAGCTCAAGTCTCCGTCAAACGTTCAACCTCGGCCCTCAACCCCTAACTTGAACCCGAAGCTTCAAGCCCACAGCGCTCTAGAGTAAGGGAACGTTCGGGGTCACATCCGGGTTCGAGTAGGGCTTCTGTGTACACTTCTTAGAGGGCATGGGGCGGGCAGATAGGAGAGGGCTTGGATTTCTGGAGGTGCTATTTGAGGGTTTGGAGTTTGCGGTTTAGGGCGGGGTGTTGGTTTTTCCAAACGGAATCAGGCACCACATACCCGGATAGCATGTCATGTAGGAACCTCTGTAAGCCTGTAAGGCCTATGTATGTCGCACATAGGCAATATAGTACATGGACCCTTTCCGGTTCCTAGTTTGGAAGCTATGCGGTTTGGGGCTTGGGGTGTAGGGTTCTCTGCGCAAGACTCCAATTCCAACGAAGCTTCGAACGGCATACCAGAACTAGATTAAGGTTGTGGGATTCCCGACCAAAGAATCATTGCGGAACCAAAAAGAACAGTGTTACACATCATTCAAGCTCAGACCCGCCATTGATCCACCTGCCTTGTTGAAGGCCCCATTTGTTTTAAACCAAACCGGCACAATCCGCAAGTGCTGAGTAGTAATTACGGTGCTATACCTTACTAGTACGGAAAATGGTTACCTGTTGCACGCCCGCGAGGATCCTACACTCAGCGGTTTCCTTGTGGATGCAGGCCTACAATCCAAAATCCCCCGCCTCGATCCACTCTTCGAACCGAAGGGGATCAAAGGGCCGATTCGCCTCGCTTCCGATGGCTCATCATGGTAGCACTGGGACTTTCATCAACGCTGGTCGCATTTCTTAGATTCTTTCGAGTAATACTCGCATCGTTGCGGAAATTGCAGGTGACGATGGTCTGGTGGTGCTATTGGGGCTGATGGCGGTGGCAGTGGCTGAGGCGGCGGCAGTGGTGGCGCTGGTGGTCGCCGTCGTGGTAGTTGTTGGTCGGCGTCGTCGCGGACGTCGTAATCGTTGTAATAGTGAAGGTAGTAGCCGTAACAGCAGCAGCAATAGCAGTGGTGGCAGTAGCATAGGAGTAGCAGCAGAAGCAGCAGCAGCAGTAGCAGTAAGCGTAGCAGCAGCAGCAGCAGGAGGAGCAGCAGGAGCAGCAGGAGCAGGAGCAGGAGCAGGAGCAGGAGCAGGAGCAGGAGCAGCAGCAGGAGCAGCAGCAGGAGCAGTAATAGTTGTGGTTGTTGTCATAATGGTAATAACAATTTCAGTTGCTGAAGACTGTCCTAGCACCAGATTTCCACCCATCGGTTCCGAGAATGCAGCAGTGAATCAGCAGCAGCGAACACAAACGGAATCGGGGTTGGGGGCATGCGGGGCGGGGGCGGAGGGGTGGCGTGTCACGCCTTTCGCATGAATGGAACATTCCGAGAACAGGAGGCAAGCAGCATGGACTCCAATTGGTGGGATCCCTGCAAGACAAGGCCAGACCAAACGAACCCCCAAAACAAATTAAGAAACACCCACCCTCCCCATCTTGCAGCTGGGGCGCTGTGTAAACAAAAGAAGCTGCGCTTTGACGATGGTGCGGCTGACCTTGAGGATCTCATGAGTGTTTAGGGGTTATGGTATAATGCAATATGCTTTTTGGGGTACATGCTGCTGTAGTATATACTGACTGGCTCGAAGGAGTCGTATTGCAAAATATTTGAGCTTCTACATTATACACAGGGTCTTTCAATGAGGGCTCTTCCTGTCGGATTGAACCTTAATTTGAAGAACCCTTCCCCACATTGATCGCCGGATTTGGGTTCTTCCATGAAGGGCCCTTCATGGTCTCGGGCTTACAACTGAAAGCTCTGCATTTAGGATCCAACAGTGATCCAACATTGGAACCGGCAAGATTGGCAATGTCGGGCCTCTACAACCCCAACACATGATCCCAAACTTCCCCAAACCGCACACACACACAGACACACACAGACACACGCACTCACGCGCAGACACACACACACACACACACCCACACACACGCACACACGGTGCTTCTCCAAGAACACGGTACTGCTAGCCCTCTACCCTAAACCCTTCTCAAGTTCGTTGGATATTCCCTAAGCCCTAAACTTTCATTGCAGTGCTATATACCTTCAACCCTAAACGCTGCCATTACACACCTAAACAAGAAGAGCCTGCCGGTCAAATTGGCCAGGACCTCAACAATCAAACCCTGAGGTTTCGAGGATGCGACTTATTGCGTGCGAGGTGTTGATTGGACCAGAACTCACGAACGAGGACGGGAACTTCCCTACGTCAAGTAAGCCCGTGCCGTCCGCCATCAGGAGATGCTGTAGGTTGGGGAAAGACTCACCTCGGAAAGTACGTGGTCGTTCGCCTGGCTTCGAATCTCCGCGCTTTGGCTCCATGGGCTTGTCGTGTTCTTCGTGGTTGGCCAGCTCGTCACTCGACCATGTAGGCAGCATTCGGTCGTTCGCCGGTCTTGCTTCTGACATACTGATGCTTCACCTGCTTCTGGGGACCGTGACGCTGCTTTTCGTCGGTTGCTGGTCTTGCTTCCCCGGACGCTCAGAGCCTAAGGGGCTTGACTGCAGATGTGTAAGTCGCTCTGACGCCCCAACCCTTCCTTCGAAAGGCACTGAAACTGTTCCCCACCCGGAGGAATTCTTTGCTTAAGAGAGTTTGTCGTTTGGGAGCGAGCGGTGTGCTTGGGCGTGCTTCATTCCTCTCCTCTGGTCTTCTGTGTGTTTTGTGCTCTACTGCTCTACTTCGTGACTGTACGTCGAAGCAACATTTGAGCAGTAGAGAGCCGTACGGGCTTGCTTCCGCTTGCTTGTGCTTCGTCAGGCAGCCTTCGAGCCGTGGTGGTCGCGAGACAGTTTGGAATCACTGAGTGTCTGTCGCTAGGAGTCTTTCTGCTGAAGTTCTGACTGGCGGCCTATGTCCTCTCCGTTCACGAGCCGGGCCTCATGCATCGTCTGCCGCCTGGGCAACTGCGCTTTGCTCTGTCGGTGACAGTGCCGTGGCGCGTCTCTCTTCGGGCAGCCTCGTGAATTCAGCTTCGCCACGTCGACTTTGCCGTCCCTGGCTGCTTGGGGCTCCGACGGCGGCATGCTGATCAGCGTGACGGGCTGGCGCGCGTCGAGATGCGCTCTTTGCCCAAACGTAACTACCTTCGAGCCGGAGGCGATGTTGAAGTGCGCACCTCAGCAACTCGTTCAAACAGAATTCTTGCAGTCCTTGCCGGTCTGAGCCCGCGGCCCTCTGACCACTTCGCCTTCGCGAACTTCAACGCCACGGCCCTGACGGGGCTGTTTTTGCCGACCTGAATTGAATCGGAACGTTGCTCTCGGTGGATCAAGTGCCGGCCTGGCATCCGGCCTGGACCGTGTGGCATTCGCCGTCCAGAAAGTTTATCGTGAGGTGGTGGCTGAGCTGCTTGGCTGACGTCCAGACCGGGTTATGCGCGAGGTCAGCTTCGAGGCTTTGGTGTCACGGCTGATGCCTTCGCCGTCATCGCTCTTTGAACTTGCGAGGCCATCTTGTAGATAGTTGTGGTGGTGTTGCATCTAGGTGATGGCCGGGTCTCGCTATGGTTGACTGCCTGGAGCTGCCATGCAGGTGCTGCTTGAGCCAGGATGCTACGATGACACACGGGGTTCCCTACACCTTGTCCTCACTAGTGCAAAACCAGTCTATAATGCCCTTGAGATGAAGGCGGTGCTCGCGGCCGGTGTCGTCCGCCATCAGGAAAAATTGCAGGTTCGGGCAAGGACTGTCGTACAGTCCATGGAGCCTCGTGGGCTCCCGCTTCCTTGCGCTGTGGTCTCGAGGGTTCGCTTTTTGTGGGCTCCCAGTTCGCCACTTGACCTTGAACCCTAAACCCTAGCCTAAATTTTAGAGGCTGCGCCTTGTGTTTATCGGCCTTTAGCGGCGCAACCGAGGTGCGCCAGCGCAGCAATTGGTGATGAAAGTTGGGAAGCGTTTCCGTTTCGATGAATGAATGTGAATGTATTTAATTTCTCGCTCGATCTTTTGTGTGTTAAGCCATGATTGGGGTTAAAAACTGTGAATCTATCTAGCCCAGCTTTTGGGGACCATGTATGTCAATTTGCTTAAACCCCGCTTGGACTTACAATTTTTCAGAGAGGGTTGACCGGGGCGCCAGCTGCGCTGGCGAACCTTAAACCCTAAACCCTAAACCCTTCTACCATAGTAATTTAAACTTTATAGTCGATGTGGCATTTGATCATTTTTGTTGTGGCATTTGATCATATTTTGTGGCATTTGATCATATTTTGTGGCATTTGATCATATTTTGTTGCGTTTGGTTATATTTTGTGGCATTTGATCATATTTTGTGGCATTTGATCATATTTTGTGGCGTTTGATCATATTTTGTGGGATTTGATCATATTTTGTGGGATTTGATCATATTTTGTGGGATTTGATCATATTTTGTGGCATTTGATCATATTTTGTGGCATTTGATCATATTTTGTGGCATTTGATCATATTTTGTGGCATTTGATCATATTTTGTGGCATTTGATCATATTTTGTGGCATTTGATCATATTTTGTGGGATTTGATCATATTTTGTGGCATTTGATCATATTTTGTGGCATTTGATCATATTTTGTGGCATTTGATCATATTTTGTGGCATTTGATCATATTTTGTGGCATTTGATCATATTTTGTGGCATTTGATCATATTTTGTGGCATTTGATCACGGTTTAGGCCTTTAGGGTTTAGGGCCCTACGGTTTAGGCCTTTAGGGTTTAGCGCCCTACGGTTTAAGCCTTTAGGGTTTAGGGCTTTACGGTTTAGGCCTTTAGGGTTTAAGGTTCTTTAGGGTTTAGGGCCCTACGGTTTAGGCCTTTAGGGTTTAGGGCCCTACGAATTACGGTTTAGGCCTTTAGGGTTTAGGGCCCTACGGTTTAGGCCTTTAGGGTTTAGGGCCCTACGGTTTAGGCCTTTAGGGTTTAGGGCCCTACGGTTTAGGCCTTTAGGGTTTAGGGCCCTACGGTTTAGGCCTTTAGGGTTTAGGGCCTTACGGTTTAGGCCTTTAGGGTTTAAGGCCCTCCGGTTTAAGCCTTTAGGGTTAGGGCCTTACGGTTTAGGCCTTTAGGGTTTAGGGCACGACGGTTTAGGCCTTTAGGCTTTAGGGTCCTACGGTTTAGGCCTTTAGGGTTTAGGGCCGTATGGTTTAGGCCTTTAGGGTTTAGGGCCCTACGGTTTAGGCCTTTAGGGTTTAGGGCCCTACGGTTTAGGCTTTTAGGGTTTAGGGCCCTACGATTTAGGCCTTTAGGGTTTAGGGCCCTACGATTTAGGTCTTTAGGGTTTAGGGCTTTACGGTTTAAGCTTTTAGGGTTTAGGGCCCTACGGTTTAGGCTTTTAGGGTTTAGGGCCCCACGGTTTAGGCCTTTGGAGTTTAGGGCCCTTCCTGCATTCTAAGGCGTAGCTGCGGACGGGGGCCTAAACCATAAACGTTTAAGGATTATGGTTTTGATTTTTAAGGCTTGTGTTTAGGATTTAACCGAACCTTAAAACTATCGGATTTAAGACCCTAGAATCCAGGTTTTGCACAAAATCTTAAAATTTAGGACGCAATTTTCTCCAAAAGCTTCAAGCAATTAGAATTTTTAAAAGCAGACTCAAGAACAAAATATAGCTATGCCCAAGTTTCCACATATATAAGCATATTTTCTCATTAATTAAACACTTCCCGACAGATTTCTAAAAAAAATATTTTTAAATACCACTCCTGAATTACTATAACCTTATCAAAAGGCCACGAAAATCAGATTCAAAATATAATTCATGTCTCCTCTATAACTCAGAAAAAATTCCGCACATCTTTATTTCCAAATACTACTTCATATCCAATATCATCTTAATTTCAATTCCAATCTCATATTATACATACTTTCCTACTATCTACATATCCCAAATATCATCTTCCACAATTCCCACAGACAATTTTAATATTTTTCTACATTTCTTATACATATATATATATATATACTACGACCCTATTTCCTTATTCATCATTTAAAAAACATTCGAATATCCACAAATAATCACTCTAACTAATATCGTAGATATAACCTCTCTCTCTCTATATATATATAATATAATACGATCTTATCTTTCCTTCTCAGAAACATAATTCACTAACTCGACCACTCAGAATATCTCTTCGTACATCTATATCTCCAAATACTACCTCACATTGTCTCTTTGATTCCTCCGCAATACTCTTTCGCCATCCATATTTCACATCTATCATTTTACAACGAACCTCACAAAAGCGTTTCATGAATCTCTTGACCACATATTAGACATATACGATGCGATTGTATTTCCTTACTCTACTACTACAATATCAGAAAAATGTTGTTACCCGTATATATCACGGATATTATACATCTTCATATAATACGATACTACATTCACATCTCCAAATACTATTTCACATCCACTATTATATTCTACTATGACGACAATACTTTCCCACTATTTATATATCCCGAATATCATTTTTCAAAATTACCACTACGAACTTTTTCAATCTTT